TTTATATTTGAAGAAATATTAAAGGCTTTAATGCTTGTTTTCGACTCGCACTGCTATTCATGATTGAACAAAACTTTTGGCAGGTACTGTATAAACAAGTATGTTTAATGAACAAGAGTCGAGAGTATAATGAGCTTTTTTCTCCCTACCTACTATTTTGCCCGCGCGCATCCACGACATTGGAAGGGGCACTTCGCTAGAGAAAGTAAATGAAGTATATATAGAAACGATTTTAGTTAATAGAACCCTCTTTTGTTTTATATGTTTAAGATGATAATAATAAAAAAAAGCATTCATTATTGTGAAATGTTTATTTATAAATAATATTTGAAACAGGAAACAAGACATTTACGCATACAAAAATCTAAATTTACTTGATAGGTAAATGAAGTCACTAATATTACTCATTTTTTGTTCACATGCAGTCGCGACAAATTGGCTTTTTGCAATAGCAGCAGGCATACTGCGTTTTGTGTTTAAACATTGGTGGACATACATAACACGTTGATCTTTTTTCAAGGCGGTTCTCTGGAGGGCTGTTCTCAATTACAATATTATCATTGTTACCGCAAAGCCTTGTAATAGTCGTTTACACTTCTCTAGGTAATTTGGAATTTACTATTCTTCTTTCCCACTGTGGCAGTACTAAACTTTCGTCTAACATTTTCAATTTTGGAGTATCCTTGTAACTAGAAAAAGACGTACATAGGTATTGATCGTGCTCACATCTAGCCGGCAAAAAAAATGCCATAAGCCACCTACGTGTCCTACGACTGGGGCCATAGTTAGTAGCTTTCTTGTTGGGAGGTGCGTCTTTATTCCTACAAAAAATGCTAACGTATATGAAACATTTGTAGCTTGCAAAATTTAAAGAACTTACCATTTAAATTTATTTTTTCCAAAGTAGAACTTTTCATTTTCTTTCGTTAGCTCTTCCAGTTCACTCTTGGAATATTCACACCTGGGTTCTTCATTTTCGGAATAATCCGCATCGGAACTCTCTTCATTAATCTCTTCTTCGTCATCTCCAAAACCATCACTTTCTTCATTTTGGATTTAAATATTTTGGCTCCAATCTATAAAATTGAGGTCTTCAGAATGCATTGCATAACGAATGTCTGCGGTTTTGTTCATATTAAGTTAGAATATTACAATTTTTAAAAAGTGACTGTTACTCAAACTCGTAAACCACCACATAAGGTATCAAAGACCGCTGACCGTACAACAATACAAACACATCGTCGTTTACCAAGCTGGCTTACACACTTCATTCATAGTGAGGTACCTACCTAAAATCCCACCCGCCAGAAAAATTTGTTTCGAAAATTAGAAGCAAATCAATATAGCTAAAGTGCCACAGACCACTTTTTAGTGGTTAAGGTTTAACAATGGAAAATCAATAGTAAGTAAAAATAATTTCAAACAGTTGAAATAGAGATCTAACGATAGCTAGTTAAAATAATGTCGGTTCTGTGCTAATGCGAGACTAACCCCGCGAGAGTAGCATTCGCACTGCTGTAGTGCAATGTGGTGGTCAGAGAAGAGAGACTAGTATAGAAGTCCAATTCAAATGGAGGACTAAAACGTGAGTAAGAAATTCTAAATAGAACCAGGAGATGGCGTTGCTATGAAAATTAGTGTGGGGGTTCGGTATAACTCGCACATATAATTAAATGAGCGTGAATGTGAATAACAATAACAATTTATTAATATTAATACAGGAGGCTGATCAATGTTCGAAGCAGTACAAAATCTTACTGACTAAACAGTCGATGAATAAAACTAATATGAATCACCAAGCTGGTGACATTCATTGTTACCAACCTGAGATCCCTGACTTCACGAGTCTCCGTACGGAGCGCTGTGTCGTCATGGAGCAAAGAGGTAGTTGTAGAGTGTACTGAGGTTATGTGTGTGTTTACTTGTATGAGTGTAATCCCCACATGNAGTAAGAAATTCTAAATAGAACCAGGAGATGGCGTTGCTATGAAAATGAGCGCCTCAACGCTGTATTGAGTCGGAGCAAATTGTGAACGCAGTAATGGCAGGGGTAAATAGTAGAAGTGGTGGGATCACAGAACGCATAAGTCTTTTTCCTTTGCTGTTGTAAGCCAAGTTTGTAAAGAAAAAAAAAAAAAACGGTTGATTTTCCGAAGCGACAACTACCGGTCGGATGACAGAAGCTTCGAGATTTACCGACATGTTATCCGAAACGAAGTCCGGATTATTAACCCAGCATTGGACTTCTGTACTAGTCTCTCTTCTCTGGTGGTGGTGCTCAAGCTCTACTAATTTCGGGTGGGCTGGAGCGCAGCTGGCTCCAATGTTAGCGTGTCTGCAGCATCACGCGGAAGGGCAGCCACACTTAATCGATAGGTGCAGATAGGTTAGGTTAAGTTACACAAACCGCGTTATCTCTATCCGAGGTGTCCGTCTCCAATTTAGTTGCAGGTAAAATATGTTAAACTACATCAAAAATGTTTCTTTTTTTGAGGAAAACATTTTTAAGGGCCGAGAATAACCTCCGAAGTTGATACTCCATAAGGGCGATACTCAAGATTCACATATTTCTAATTGATGTTTTCAAAAACGACCAAATCGATTAAATTCTACATGAAAAATGATTTTATTTTTATTGCAAATTAATGAATCAAAAAAAAATATATAATTTGAAAATGAAGAAAATTCAATTGCAAAAAATGTTGTGATTATTTTTTAATGGGACTAATTTTAATCAAAAGAGGGCGGAAAATACTAAGTAAGTGGTTTTGCATTTTTCGAAAACAAAACACAGTTATATAGGGTGGCCCAATAAATACGTCATATTCTCACTGTGTCCAAACCATATACGTACCAAATCGCTTTTTTGTTTCCAATAGGCTTATTGCTAACTGCCTTCTAAAGGACAGTTATTCTTTGGTGGTTGCAGTATTCGATCACTGCCCCATATATGCTTTCGAATTTTTTTGTTGTTGAAGAATAAATCACTTTTTGTTTAATAAAACAATTCGAAGTGGTCTGTATTCTGTCGAAACTGCCAGACGCGGATCGAGATTTCGATCTTTTTGGATCTCATTAGCGCATCGTAGACAGCTCCGACAGAACACAGACCAACTTTTACCTGCTGTCTTAACAGCACGTTTTAGAAAATACCACAAATGGCGCGGTAAACGCGATCTGTAATACGATGCTACATTTTAGGATTAAGTATGCTCCATCAAGGTCCATTTGTATGAATATCTACTTGCTGAAACGAATCCCGGCGTAGCTAACCTCAACGTGATAGGCACGTTACCATAATCGAATAAAATAATTCGACGTGGTCTGTATTCTGTCGAAACTGCCAGACGCAGATCGCGATAATTCCTATCTTCTTATGAATTTAACAATTTATTCAAAGTAAGTCCCCTGAGTAATATAGGCATATGCCAATTGTCCTTTTTTTAAGTACACCCATCTTTAGACCTAATATGTGAGTATCAAAAACTTTTAAGTTTGCAGTTACTGTGCTTATTACAATTCTTTGTGAAGTATTCAACATGAATCGCAAAAACATTTATAAAAATAACTAAGAAATTTACAAAAACTTACCCACTTATTCGCAAATCCCCAGCTGCATCAAGGTTAAAATGTACCATTACTAAAAAATCACATAAATAATGGAATAATTACTTGTAGTCACATTATTGCACTGAAGCTAATATTAGGAAACATGTATACAGCGCCATCCATCATACTACAGTTCAGTTAAACCCATTATAAATAATTTAGCAGAATGTCAACCGCTGTCCTTTTAAAAAGACGTTTGGCATTAATGAGTTAACAAAGAAAATGGGTAGCAGCTGCCAATGTTCATTATCTAGTCTCATAAAATAGTTACCTCCTTTCTTGTTCACCGACAAAATTCAACAGTCCAATTAATCAAAACACCAGGGAATCACCCCAGTTAGCTCGCAAAACAGAAGAAATGCCTTAAAACTTAAGAAACCTCCAATAAATCTATATCAGTCTGTAGGGCTTTTTCGCTAATTAGCCAGTTTTTATACCCTAATTGCCAACAAATGTTTTATATACACAAATACATCCACACGCACATATCCACTCACGTACCCATGCGCACACAAATAAATAAACAAATGGATTTGTCAGGCTATATATAGAGGTATATAACTTATATTACTTAAATTTTCGTTTGATATTATTTGGAAAAAAAAGAGTTTTCAAAACTTTGAATAAATTTATTAAAAGATGTTCTTATTAAAAGATGCTTGTTGCTGAACGTTACAAACAATTCTGAAGCTCTAAAAGAACTCACAGTACGTTTAACAGTAAGTTACAATGCCTTCTTTGTAAGCTCAATCCTGCGAATATAAACATAAACAATATAAACAAACTAGTTCCGATAGATAACGTACAAGAACTCTGTCACACGTGCCATTTATGTCGTCTATTAGACGCCATTGCGAGGTCAACCGTTTGTTATCAAATTTCCACTATGAATGCACTACACGTACCATAACATATACAATACAATACAAATAATCATGAGCTAGAAAGGTATACCTACATTATCCTTATACGTAAATATGTAAAGCAAAAATTTGTATGTATAAATAAAAGAAATACAGTGGATTTCGGGTATAACGACAACGAAGGAACCACTGTAATTTCGTCGTTATATCCAGGAATCGTTACAAGCAAACTTAAAGGAGATAAAGACACACCCTGTTTTTCAATTTTGAAACAATTTTCACCTTTTTTTAGCAGTAAATGTACATCTGGAAGTCACACTTATTCAAAGATTTACTAAACACAGTTGCTACTCAGAAAAAACGATAAAGGTCACCACACTCGTTGACGATCTGTGTGAATGTAAACAAAAGATAAGAAAGTCTTTAGGGGCCGACTACGGTCGCTATATTTTCTGGGGTTACCAGAAATTTGTTACAAATGAATCATTAAAAACAGTCGTTACACCCGAACTCGGCGTTACATCCGAAGTCGCTATAGCCACAAGAATTTTGTACTAAAGTGTGCTTTAAATTGAAGATACTTACATAAGACGTCGCTATAGCACAATGGCCACTATAACCAAGGTTGTAATAAATGAAATCCACTGTAATCCAACTGGCAAATATTATTAGTTAATTTTCGTCCACAGATTCACTATATTTAGAGCAAGAGTGTCAAAAAGGACTGTTTAGCTTTTGATCATCATTAGAACATCAAGTCGCTCCTTTCTCATAGTAGATCGGGACGGATTTTTAACTATTTTATGTAAATTAAATTTCCGTCAGTTCGTTGCCAACGAATAACTAGCCGTATATATGAGCTTGCCAATACAAAAAGCTTCCTAATAGCTGTGTGATGTTTAGTAGCTACCTTCACGATATTCTTCATAAAAGAACAATCGGGCTTTTAGCATATACCAAATAATACCTGCCTAAGAAACTCTAATATTGCATTGAAAAAGTTTATAATTGTATCTAAAATACATTTATATCGAATTTCGCTGTATTGAATGCACAGTTATCAATTTTGATGTATTGATGATGTAAAAGTAAGAATTATCTATGCGACAGTTTAATGGACAGCGAAGAAGGGGTTGTATTACTAAGACTGGTTGGACAGTAATGCTGGTAGGCGGGCAGTCCCTCCGGACTATGCCGGAAGGTAGGGCGGAAGGCCCTCTTCAGCCTGCTTTCAGTAATCGTGGAAATGGGTGGGTGGTGGTTCGGGTGAGAAAGATGAGACGGACGAAATGATGACAGAAGAGAATGAAAGATTATCTGTGGAATATTACTGCCCCAGCATTTGCCTAAGTGATCCAAGGAAACCACAGAAAAACTTCGGAATCGAACCGGCGTCCTCCCGAATGCTAAGCAATGGTCTAAACCTCTAGGCCATGCCGCTCGGTACTGGTTGGACATGCACCTCCACTCTTTCCTATCCTGAGCCAATCTTTGCATTTCCCTGAAACTAGAACGACCCATATCCTTAACTATTTGCTAACAGTAATCTAATCTAGACCTACCTCTACCCCTCCTAACTTCCGTTTCTGCTTCTCATATCTCTCTGTCTATTTCTTATTGACTTCCATAGAGTCCTCTGTTCTCCTATTTTTTCTAATACCTCTTCATTTTTAACTTTCTTTATCCACGGTATGCTCATCATTTGCATTACATTTCGAACGCTTCTAACCTTTTCTTTTCCAGCGCGCCCACTGTCTATGTTTCTCACCCTATACAGCGCCGTGCTCCAAACATACACCTTTAACAACCTTTTTCGAATTTCTAAATTAACCGTTCGCGAGCATGGAAGTGACCCTGCGCTATGCTCTGCTTTATATCCCTACTACTCCTTCCGTCCTGACTTATCTGACTTCCTAGATACCTAAACTCGGCGACTCTTAATTTTTCGTCTCCTATCTTTATATTCGCTCTTTCCCTTTTTTTCAAATAGTTATACAAGCATTTTTACATGAAACCGTGAATGAAGTCCATTTTTAACATATTTCCTAAATAATAAAACGAGTTGAAAAAAACAACTGAAACATATGTTCAGGGGGAGTATACTTCGCAACCCTCCCGCCCTGTTCGATGAACTGATAATGAATTGAATGAAGTAAACTTATATTTCTTAAATTTGCATTTGATATTGTTTGGGAGAAAAGGAAGATTTCAAAACTGAATAAATTTATTAAGAGGTGCTTTCTGTTCAACGTTACAAGCAATTCTAAAGCTCTCGAAGAATTTGCAGTATATTTAACAATAGGTTAGAATGTCTTTTTGCAAGTTGAATCTTGTGAATATAAACATAAACATTTTAAACAAACAATTTCCGATTGGTAAGGTATGAAGTTTTTCACACGTGCATTTATACCGTCTATTAGAGATTAGACGCCGTTGCGAGGTCAACGTTTGTTATTATCCACTATGACGCACTACACGTAACATAACATATCTTCTTCAAGATTCGTAGTACTCCAAGATTTGACATTATTTTAGTTTTTTCACTTTTCTAAACACTGTCTGATTTCGCTACAGAAATCTCCATCGGTGATGTTAAAGTTCATTAGCCTGTGAAGACATCGTCCCTTCTGATGATATGGTCAGTTTCCCCTGAGTTCGGAGAAAATATTACTATTATATTTTCCTTAGACTAGTTGATTGAATTTGAATATCCCATGTTCAATGCGAAGCCATCAACCTTTGCAGGCTTTTTTTGGATAGACATTTTGAAATTCGTTATTCGATTTGTTATTGAATCATTCGTTCATAATAATAACAGTTCGATTTACTGTTATTAGAACGTCCACAAAAGTAAAGTCGCATTTTTACAAATCATTAGGCTTACATTTGCTTTCTCTATTTTGAATTGCGAAGTTGCGGCCATATTTCTTGTTGTAGTTGTCAGTCTAAATTATAACCTTTCTGAACATAAATAAAATTTGTAAGCAAATGCTGCTTTCTTATATCTGTATAGCAATCGTTTACTCAAAAGCCAATCTAGATCTGCAAATTGAAATAGTCTCAAATCAGCCTTTCAGATTAAATTTGAACCCTTGTTAACTTTGTGAATAAAATAAGTAATTAAATTTTATGATATGGCGGATTCGACTGAAAGTGAGGAATATAAAAAAATTATTGATATTGATAAGCATTTTGACATTTACCCAAAAATTAAAAGAACATAAAATTGTTCTTAATATATCACAAGCTCCGCAAACTAATGCAGAAAAAGAAGTCGCATTAAACGATTCACAATAAAACAATTATCAAAGAAAATTAGTAATATGAAAGCAGAGATGAAAAAGATGTTTAACGTGAATAAGATAGGCAATAAACAGTCTTGGGAAAGATATTATTGGAAAAGTTTCTTGTACGTTGATGGAGTATCCTTTTTTGTTCATCAAAGTCATGAAACTTTGGAATGCTGACGTGTGTGCAGTCAATCGCACCGATAACAGTTGGAAAATAGTTTTAGTTTTTACATCTTCAGCACTTCTAGAAAATCTAATAAAAATAGTGACCTTGCATGCTTTAAAGAAGTGTGTTGGTAAATCTTACAGACAATAGTTTGGTGAACACCGTTTTCTTTAGCTCGAGAATTTTTAAAGCCCGAATTCGACAACTACCGCAGAAAGTCGTTCATCTTACGTATTTGTAGGTGATAGGGCAGCTCCTCGCCTTTCGCCAGAATCAGTCAAAAAATAATTTGCTAACCACTTAACATTTTTACTGTTAAATCGACATAACCTTCTGAAATAACCGTCTGTGCAATTATTACGCATGCCGCATATTTTTCTTTTACGCGCACTCATGTTCAGCCATAATTTGAAAGGCTGGTCGACCTACCTTAAAAATCTGAAAGCACTTGTTACACTAGAAAAAGCAATTTCTTAAATTATTCATGACATTTTAAGAAAATGTAAGTAATTGCTTCTATTTTTTAAGAAATAGCTTTGACTAGAAGCAATTCCTGAACTTTTAAGTAATTGCTGGAAGCAAAAGTAGTTGCTTCAGTTTTTATTCATTGGATTGCAAACATTTACTCTGATTTTAAAGAAAAAGCAATTGCTAAATTTTTATTCACTAGGTTCAATAATAATGACACGTTACACATTAAAAGTTATCTGAGTAAAACCAGTTGAATCGCTAAAGTCTATCTCTCATAAACGGTATCTAAACTTTGAAGAACACCTTTAACTGTTGTATTGTATAAGTAACAGTGGAATGACACAATAATGAGTCCGCCGGAATTTCATTGTCTACATCTCGCACATAAACTAACAACATACTCGAAATTTCTAATCTGCGTGTTTTGTAATAGTTCTCCATTTAATGGTTCTATATTTCATTTCAATTAGCTTTAAATTAAATAAACAAAATTTTGTTAATAATAAAATGAGTTGCATTGGGCCTCATCGTATATTGGTGTTTGGGCTTTTTATTTAAACGTCATCTTTTAGTGCCTTTTCACAGGAATCATTCATTTATTACTTAAAGCTATTTTTGCTACTGTTTGACGCTCTCCCCCCTAAATAAGAAAAAATAAGAATAGGCCGACCTCCTCCGTCCTGTTTAATATTTATTACGTAAGAATCTGAAAGAGAAAACGAATACACGTTTGGTTTGTTTTAATATCTATTTTTTAAAGTAATAATATTTAGGAACGT